TGTCACTAAACTATATACGTGAAGATTGTTGAAATGGTAAATTTCAACAATACATATTGACCACAGTAAAAAACAAAACACTGTCCTTTGACTGGTGAATAAATAAACTGCAGTGCATCCATAAAATGGAATACTACTCAGCAATAAGGAGCCCTGGTGGTGCAGTGGTTAAATGCTCACTTGCTAACCAAAAGGTCAATGGTTCAAACTCACTAGCAGCCCTGAGGGAGAAAGATGTGGCAGTCTGCTTCCATAAAGATTACAGCTTTGGCAATCCTATGGGGCAGGTCTACTCTGTCCTATAGGGTTGCTATGAGTCGGAATCAACTCGATGGTTGGAATTGACTCGATGGCAATGAGTTTTACTCAGCAATGAAAAAAGGGATGAATTATGGATACACACAGTAGAATTGATGAATCTCAAATGCATTATGCTAAGTGAAAGAAAGCAAACTCAAAAGCCTCATACTGTGTGATTGCACTGAGGTGATGAAAATGTTTATATCTTGATTGTGATGGTGGTTACATGATTGTTTTGCATTTGTCAAAATCATAGAACTGTATGCTAAAAAGGATGACTTTTACAGTATAAAAATTATACCCCAATTTAAAAAAATAAGAGTTGGATTCAACTTCCTTCTTTCCCTTCTTTGCCTCCTCTGTCCCTACCCAACATCCTGTCCTCAAAGCCTAGGAAGAAATCCCTGATTTAGCCACCCTGAACATGACTTTGCTTCTGGGAACAAAAGGCCAACCCACTAAGAATGGTCTATGCAGGGCCACGTGTCTGTCTCCCTCAGTCCCATCCCATCTGCCTAGGCCTGGTCACCAGGGCCATCCCAGCATTTCTAACCTCCATTTCCCCTTTCCTGCTTGCTCGCCCAGGAGTCCTGGTGGTGACCTGGGAAAGGAAGCAAATCTTTATGGCCCAGGCATTGTGTGGGTGAGAGATTCTGCTTGGAAAGAGGGAGGCTCCTCACACTCAACTTTCCCCAATTCTGGCCCGTAGAACAGCTGGGTCTCTTGGGAACAGACAGCCAGAGAGGGCTTCTACCCTGGCATCTACCTCACCTCATCCCTGCCCAAGGCCATCCCTGTCACTGCAGCAGGCTTTTCTGGGCTGCCAATGCCTTGGCCAGAGCTGAAGCAGCAACACACCAAGAGCCACCTGGGCCTCCCAGGGGAGCCACGAAAAGATGACTTGGGTCTCGGGAAGCAGAGCAGTAGAGTCTCATAGATGCACCGGGGGCAGGTAGGACCAGCCTGTTCTAGGCATGTTCTCACTGAGGAACATCCAGTTGGAGTATGATTTCCATGGTGGCTTCTCTGAGCTGAGGGCTCCATGACAAGGTCTACCCTAGACCCCTGGTTCTCAGGGGCAACTTTGAGCTGAAGACCTGCTATGTCTGAATGATTTCACCTTTCTGAGCCTTAGTTCTTTCTCTCTAAAATGGGCATGCTCATCCCTGCCTTGCAGATCAGCTGTGAAGCTAAAGATGAAATGAAGACCATGAATGTGCTTTGCCAAGCACGTGAGACTGAACATTCTTTTCTGAGATCTGAGGAAGGAATAATCAAGGTGGCGTGGGTGGTCACAGAGGGCTTCACAAAGGAGGGAGACTGAGATAGGACTTTGAAAGATGGGGTATTCACATTGGTGGGAAGGATGGGTTGTATTTTAAGATGGCAAGCTGAGGAATGAAACTACAAAGACACAGAGGTGGAACAGTGATTAACCTGTACCCAGGACAGGGAGGAGAGCAGCTTGGTCAGATGGTGAGCTCCCGAATACTTGACTCAGGCATGGGTCAGCAGCCCCTGGTGGTCACTCAGAACTGCAGCCAAGACCTCCATGCCCGGAGACTGTCAGCTGACTGTCCCCACCCCAGCCTGCAAAGCCTCCCAAGCCGCAGGGAGGTGACAATATGAGCAGGGGGGAGGTGGAAGAGAGAATATTGAGACAGAGCACGTTCCTCTGGACCCTCCAGGACCAGGTCAGACCCCTCCCAGCGCTCAAGTTTCTTTCTCAACACAGGGTGAGGTCTTCTGGCTGTAGGCTTGGGCCACAGGTGGCCTGACTGAACTGGGCTCCAAGCCCTTCAATCCCCTGGGCAGGGGTTGGAATGATTGATGGGTTTCCAGTGGGTTCCAGGCAGGGGCTTGGAGCTGCTACAGGCTAGCCTGGCCTGCAGAGGCCCCAGATGGTCACTCATGGCTGGGGCTGACCCATCTAGGCCAGGCCCTAGATAGTCCAGAACTGTGGCTGCCTCCCAACCCCTGTCTATCCTGGGGTCCTGGCTAAGGAGAGCAGCAGACTCTCCCTCAAAGGAGTCCTGGGAGGAGAGGGTAGGGTAGGCTCACATTCCCCCAATCTAACCCTTTGCAGATCACAGCTCAATCCCACAAGGGGGCAGGAAAGGATGCTTTGATGGAAGTGGGCAGAGAGGAGATGAGCTAACCCGTTAACCCATTGCCGAAGAGTTGATTCCGACTCTTGGCGACCCTATAGGACCGAGTACAACTGCCTCATAGTGTTTCCAAGGCTGTAAATCTTTACAGAAGTAGACTGCCATATCTTTCTCTGACAGAGCAGCTTGTGGGCTTGAACCTCCAACCTTTAGGTTAGCAGCTGAGTGCTTAACCACTGTGCCACCAGGGCTCCTTGGAGATAAGCTAAACCAACTCATAGCGACGCTATAGGACAGAGTAGAACTGCCCCATAGGGTTTCCAAGGAGCAGCTGGTGGATTCGAACTGCCAACCTTTTGGTTAGCAGCCAAGCTCTTAACCAGTGTGGTACCAGGGCTCTGGAGATGAGCTAGAGGGATGAAAATGACAGGGCTGGAATGAGAACCCAGGGATTCTAGCTCACAGCCCTCAGCCCTGTATCAACCATGACAACACCCACTGGCACTTGAGGCTAAGTGAGTGGGGGCCTTGGTGTGAGGGCTGGGCCAACAAGGAGACCCAGGCAGGCATCACGGCCTGAAAGGCAAACCCGTACCCCATAGAGGACCCTACCTCCCACTATAAAGAGAAGAGAGGGGTGCAACTGGCAGGCTGGGGAGGCCTCTTTCACACACCCTGGGGTAACACAGAGTAGGGGACTTGCAGAGAAGCTAACTACCCTGACCTTGACCTCTGGCTCTCTGGTTTACTGCCTCCCCTTCATCTCCTGCCTATCTTGCTGTCCTCATCCAGCCTCAATGGTCACGTTGCTCCTCTGGCCTCCCTCCTGACCCCTGGCCAAACTCGTTGGAACTGTCATTCCTTCCTTTCTCTTCTCCATGTTCGGTTGTCAGCATTTTAGCAAACCTTACAATCCCAGAGCTGGCAGGGGCCTCAGAGCTTACTTGGCCCAAACTCCTATTGCACAGATGGAGACACTGAGGCCCAGGGTCACTTGTCAAAGGCCACACGTCAGAATCAGTGACAGAGCCAGGACTAGGCATCTGACTCCCAAATTCTAGTTTTCCTCCTAAGTCAGTCTATGACCTTGGACCGACAGAGTTCACATGGGCTTCATCAGACCTTTGCCGTCAAAGCCATGCTGAGGCTGGGGCTCTATTCTTTTTTAAATTGTGCTTTAGATGAAGGTTTACAGAACAAACTAGTTTCTCATTAAACAGTACACATATTGTTTTATGACATTGGTTAACAACCCCACGACATGTCAACACTCTCTCTTTTCGACCTTGGGTTCCCTATTACCAGCTTTCCTGTCCCCTCCTGCCTTCTAGGCCTCGTCCCTGGGCTGGTATGCCCCTTTAGTCTCCTTTTGCTTTGTGGGCCCATCTGATCTCTGGCTGAAGGGTGAGTCTGAGGAGTGACTTTATTACTGAGCTAAAAGGGTGTCCGGGGGCCATACTCTTGGGGTTCCCCCAGTCTCTGTCAGGCCACTATGCCAATTGAGCTAAAGGTTCCCCAAGACCATGGTCCCCACAGCCCTCCGCCCAGCAACTCGGTCCCTCAGAGAGTTTGGATGTGTCTATGGAGCTTCCATGACCTTGCCTTGTACAGGGTTGCTGGCTTCCCCAGTACTATGTACTGTCTTATCCTTCACCATGGGGCTCTAGTAATAAGTGATTCTCATTTTGCCCGTAAACCAGCATCATCAACACCACCTGAGACCTTGTTAGAACTACAGCCTCAGGCCCCACTTCATACCTACTGAATTAGAAATTCTGGGTGTAGGGCCCAGCAGTGTGTGTTTTAACGAGCCCTCCAAGGGATGCTGATGCGTGCTTAAATTAGAGAACCACTGCCTGTGACACCTATGGGTCAGGCTGGCTTGTGGGCGCCCATGCCCAGAGTCAGACATGCAACTCATCCAAGCACATGTATGAGCATCTGGCTGGGGCTCTGGGGCCCAATGGGTACAGGCAGGCACCCAGATGGGGCAAGCTCCAGGGAAGTGGGGAAGGGTGGGGAAGAACTGTTCTCACCAGGTTACAGCCTGTGCTTTCTAATCCCTTTGTCCTTTGTCCCGTCTGAGGTTCCTCGAGTGTTCCCTTGGAGGCCAGGGCAGCTGACTAGCTGCCAAACAGTCCAGGCACCCCCAGCCAGCTGTGTGTGTGTGAGAGAGTTTGGGGTATGTGCTAAGACCAGCAAAGTTCTTTCTCTGCATGGGCGGGCAGGGCCGAGGAATTGGGGGGAATCAGCAAGAAGGCATAGGCAAGAGCACACCATCCCCTGAGCCATGAAATGCTGTCCAGGGTGTGGAGTTCCCCTTGGCCCCTTCCCAGGGCTGCTCCCAATGTCCACCCCGCCTCCCCACCCGTCGCTCCGCTCTGGCCTGTGGAGCCCCAGGCAGCTGCCCACCTGGCCCATCACCAGGCCCGGCAGTATCTCCCCCTAAGGATCTGGAAGTGAAGTGGAGCCTCTGTGAGCTGCAGGGGATGTGGGGAGGGGAGAGGGAGGTTGAGCTTCCTCATGCTCAGATCTGGTTTCGCTGCTGCTTCCCCTGTGGCTCCCTGCCACAGGCTGAACCACCAGCTGCGCTATATAAGGCCTGGAGGCTGGACTGCTGGAGAGGGAAGACTTGGACCCCCAGCTGAGGAGTCCTCTCAGACCCGGTGAGCTCCATTCCCATTCCCCTCGCACGGTCCCTGCACCCCACTCCCTGCCCTCCCTTGACTATCTCCCTTCCGCTGGCTCACCCCTCGTCTCCCACAGAGAAGACACCCCTTTCGGCTTTGCAGTCCTCTCTTTTCCCCCATCCGTCCCAAGTCCTCTCCCTCTCCCCTACCTGAGCTCAGGGTCCTCAGGTGGTCCCAGTTAGGGTCTCGGCACCTCTGGGTGCTCCTGCTTTTTTCCATTGGTTAGCCAGTCTGCTTTGTCTGAGTTCTGAGGTGCGTGCGACAAAGGGGCATAGGCTGAGGAAATGACTGGGACGCTGAGAGAACCCTCTGTGGGCTGCCAGATGGGAAATGGTTTTTCCACAAGGTGCCTCGGGCCACCTTGGCTTCTCAGACAGCCTCAGAGCAGGCTCGGACTGAGTGCTGAGTTCAGGCCCACTCAGCTCCTTGCTCAGAGCCCAGCTGCTTGGGGTATGATGTACAATAGCTGGAGATCTTGGGGACCTCCCTGGGCCTCTGCTCCCTCATCTGAGAGACAGGTGGTGGCGGAGGAAGCAGGTTTAGAGCTAGATGGTCTGCAATGTGGGATTGGTTTGTTCTTTCCCTGGGATCCAGGGGTCCTTGAAATCCAAGTGTTTTTGAAATTTTTCCAGAAAGAAGGAATCTCCCTTTTCCCACCAAATCCTAGACTTTGGAGTTGAAGGGAACCATGTTGGAATCTCCAGGAACTGGTCAGATTCTGGGTTTGCCAGAGCTCTGGGAAGAGAGAAAACTGTCCGGCTCTGCTAGAGCCTGGGCCACACCCCATGGTTCCTTGCCCTTATCGTCAGGCCTACCTTCCTGTCCCCGCTCCTGCAGCCCCTAACCCACCTTTAGCAATTATCGGGGAGCCCTGGCCTCTCACAGCACTCCTCTCTGCTTCCCCCAGCTGCTCCTGTCTGTGTAACTCCCAGCCAGGTCCCAAACAAACGGGCCAGAAATGTGTTCCAGCTGCAGCCTGTGTGCATCTGGAAATATGTTCATTGAGGTGTTGTGTGTGAGGCACCCGCCCTCCAGCTTGCCTGCCTGTGAGGGGCCACTGGAGTGGGGGCTGGGGCTGCATGGTCCTAATATGCAGCCCAAGGGTGCGAGCCCCACCAAAGGGTAAAAAAACAACTGCCCACCAAGCCCTGGTCTTGGAAGTGATTGTTGAGTCACCCAGAGGCTGCTGGGAGTGAGCTCGGGCTGATCCTCGTTGGCATAGAACCTCCCTACCCTACTCTCCCTCAGATGCTGCTTGACGGGAGGCCCTGGAGCCTTGACGGCAGGGGAGATCGCCTTGTTTGAACTCAGATTATGTACCACCTAAGCTGTCAGGTTTTGCAACTCAGGCAGGTGTCACCTCCCATGAGACTTTATTCTGTCTACCTTTCCATCCCTGACAGCTCAAGAAACATTCCCACTCGTTCCATGAGAGGTGACTCAGAATTGTGGAACCTGACATGATTTGTTTCTTTGCAGGTCACTGGATCTGAGAAAGTGCTCGGGAGACTGCATTCCAGGGACAAGCTGACTCTGTGAAGCATCCTCATCCATCTTCTGTCATGTTCCCCACAGGGCCTGGAGGAAAGATGTTGGGGACCAAGGCCTGCATATTCTTCCTCCTGGTCCTGGAGGTCACCTCTGTGCTGGGTACAGGCTAAGTATCTGCTAGCTCCCAAGTCCCCATCTGCCACGGTGAAGTCATGTCTGGTCTAGGATCTGGCTACACATCTGCCTTATGCCACAGCAATGGCTTCAAGATCTGAGGCTGGTTTATGAATTTATTCATAATTTATGTCCTGCCTATTCTCCCAAAGGATTGGAGATAGTTCCCAATGTTAAAGGTCACAGAACTTTTTATTTATTTATTTTTATTGAGCTTTTAGTTGAAAGTTTACAGAGCAAATTAGTTTCTCATTCAACAATTTATACATAAATTGTTTTGTGTGATACTGGCTGCAATCCCCATGGTGTGTCAACACTCTCCCTTCTCTGCCCTGGGTTCCCCGTTTCCATCTGTTCTGCTTTCCTCTCCCTTCCTGCCTTCTCCTTTTGCTTTTGGGCAGGTGTTGCCCATTTGGTCTCATTTACATGATTGAGCTAAGAAGCACGTTCCTCACGAGTGTTATTGTTTGTTTTATAGACCTGTGTAATCTTTGGGTGAAGGGTGAACTTCAGGAGTGACTTCAGTTCTGAGTTAAAAGGGTGTCTGGGGGCTATAGCTTCGGGGTTCCTCCAGTCTCTGTTAGACCAACAAGTCTGGTCTTTTTTTTGGTGGATTTGAATTTTGTTCTGCATTTTTCTCCTGTTCTGTCCGGGACCCTCTATTGTGATCCTTGTCAGAGTGGTTGGTGGTGGTAGCCAGGCACCATCTAGTTGTCCTGGGCTCAGGCTGGTGGAGGCTGTGGTACTTGTGACCCATTAATCCTCTGGACTAACATTTCCCATGCGTCACTGGTTTTCTTCATTCTTCTTTGCTCTGGACAGGAAGAACAGAATTTTTAAATGAGGAGAGGGATGAGCAATCATTTAGAGAAAGGAAAAAAGAGGGTTACTGCCCCTAAGTATTGAATTTAGGTCTGAGCTTCCAGGCAACCTAAGCAAGAAGGGAATCACAAAGCATAATTGAGTTCTCAGGAGCAGGCTTGTGGTTTGGACTGTTTTTAGTTTCACGAAAATGCTTCTGACCTGAAGCTCAATTTCAGTTAAACCCTTCAGTAAGACAGAAGCACCAGAACCCTTTCTTGATCAGCCATTCAAAGGGGGCATCTGGTCTCCCTGCCCTCTGACCCCATCCTTTGGTGACAATGAGCTCTCAAAGGAACCACCAATTGCTGTTGGGTCAGTTCTGACTCATGGCAACCCCATGTTTGTCAGAGTGGATCTGTGCTCCTAGGGTTTTCAATGGCTGATTTTTCAGAAGTAGATTGCTAGGTCTTTCTTCCAAGGCACCTGTGGGTGGACTTGAACCTCCAACTTTTTGGTTAGCATCTGAGGTTATTAAATATTTGCACTACCAACAGACTCCCTCAAAGGAACAAGTAGAGAGAATTTGCCTGGTGGAACAGTTGACTCTCCAAGGCATCTAAGCATCAGAGCTCCCAGCATTACCCTGCCCACTCTCCCACTCCCCTTCCTCTCCTGATTTCTAACCGCATACTCAGGTAAAGCAAAAAATGCTCAAGGCCCCCTTTTAAAGCTGCATGCACTGCAGACTTTGTGACCACATGCAGGAACAAAGGCTGTTTCAGCGTCTCGCCAAATCCTGTGTGTGCCCTCCACTCGCCTTGCTCTTTCCTCTCTGACAGCTGCTGTTTGTGAAGATGATTAACATTCAACCATCTGAGGGGAAATCAGATTAGTTTGATTAAAAGAGCCCCTATCACCCAATTAAGCAGACAGAGAATCCTGATTTGGCTTCCTGCCTAAGAGCTAATTGCCTTTGGAAGCTCTTGCAGTCCTCTGTTCTCCTTTCTCCTTCCCCCTCCAATCCAGCCTCATGTGGGCTGGGTTTCCAAGCTGCCTGTGTCCTGAGGACCCTCTACCCATCCTCAGGCAGATCCTGCCAGTCTGGGGGTTAGAAGATTGAGGACCACTGCCCCAATTACGCCACATGAGTCCTTTAGGGGAGGGTGGACTCGCAAAACCAAGTTTTGCCAAGCGGAGAGGCATCCATCTATTGTGTCAGGCATTGAGCTAAAAGGAGTTGCTAGCACTGATTCAGCGTACACTATGTGCTAGGCATTGCCCTAATTGGATTTTATGAATGAGCTTATTTAATCCCCACAATCCTCTGAGGCAGGAACTATTATTAACCCTATTTTCTGGTGAGGGAACAGGGAGTCAGATGGGTTAAGTAGCTTGCCCAAGGTCATACAGTCGAGAAGTAGCAGAGCCTCTGGAGCCCATGCTCTCAGTCTCTATGGTGTACTTTAGAGGTGCTTTCGTATGGAAAGTGTTACCTCACGGAATCCTCATGTCAACAGAACCGCCCTATGTGGTGGGGACTAATATCTCTATTTCACAGAGCAGAAAAATAAAGCTCTATTTTTCCAAGAAGGACAGGCGCAGACCCCAAAGCAGGCGTCCGAGCCCACTGGCTACTCAGCAGCGTCCTACTGTGCATTTCTACAGTGAGAACAAAAAGGGAGCTAGCACTGAGTATGTACTATATGCCAGGCCCCTTTACATTCGCTGTCACTCTGAATGTGCACCATGACCCTAGGATGTAGCGATTATTAATCCATCCCTATTTTATGGGGAAACAGGTTCAGGGGAAGAAATAGGTTGCAAGGTCAGTAAGTGGCAGAGTGGGGATCTGAACCCATGTCCAGTACACATGCTCCATTGACTACATCTCACTGTTTCCTTGAGTCCTGGGAATCTGGTAGTAGGACCCTTCTGGGCCCCCATATCTTAAAGTTGTGACTTCTCAGCTTCTTCTCCTCCTGGCCCCCAGGAAGGCAGACGCTGCTTACCCAGTCCGTGAGAAGAGTCCAGCCTGGGAAGGGGAACCCCAGCATCTTTGCCAAGCCTGCTGACCCCCTGAGGAGTGAGTGGTGGCTGGAGCAGGGAGGTGTTGGGAGGGGGCATCTTAACTGAGCTGCTAAGACAATCTCTGAAGCCAGGGCATGAAGTCAAGGTTCCATGGTTTCTACAAGGCATTGGCCTACGCCTCTGTCCAGGCGGAGGGACCTGTATATGGACAGCTCAGACTCACGAAGCTGCCTGATAGATTCCAAGAATGCTGTAGAGCTTGCTGTGGCCATGGCAGAGGTTGATGGCGAGAGATGGGGAGATGATGGACAGAAAGCAGAGGCTAGCTCACGAGCACCCTGAATGCCTGGCTACAGGATTTTTTTAGCTGGGGAGTAGTGTGGCCCAAGCCATATGGAGAAAGTTCACCCTGGCTGCAGGGAGGTGAAAAGGAGAGGGTGGTGGAGGGGGAGCCTAGAGGTAGAGAGACCAGGCAGGAAGTTACTGACATGGTACAGAGGGCTGATGAGAGCTTGAATGGAGCCCTCGGTGGTAGGGGGTGCAGAGAGGTGAGATGCTGAAGGGAGAGATGCAACAGGGCCTGAGACCGACTGGCGAGGGCGAGAGGTATCAGGGACAACTCCCAGATGTTGAGCAGGAAAGGGGCACTGCAGCTCCCTTGAGGCTCCAGGGCATGGCTGCACCCCAAGCTGGCTCTGATCTCTTAGGTCCTGGTGAGTGGACAATATGGTTCAACATCGATCACCCAGGTGGGCAGGGTGACTATGAGCGGCTGGAAACCATTCGCTTCTACTATGGAGACCGTGTGTGTGCCCAGCCCCTGCGACTTGAGGCTCGGACCACCGACTGGATACCCGCAGGCAGCACTGGCCAGGTGGTCCACGGCAGCCCCCACGAGGGCTTCTGGTGCCTCAACCGGGAGCAGTGGTCCGGCCGGAACTGCTCCAACTACACTGTGCGCTTCCTCTGTCCTCCAGGTGAGTCCAACGGTACCCCCACTCCTACCTCCCACAAGCCCAGGAAGAGGCCTGGACCTGCCTATGGTCACAGGGACTCTGGACATCACACACATACACACACTTGAACTCTCTAGTAATAACCCATTAGTGTCATTAGTACCATGGTCTTGCCAACAGTGTCTGTGTTTCTGGGTCCCCTCTACTCAAGCCATTTTATTTAGCACATGTGGCACTGTGGTTAAGACCACGGGCTCTGGGGTCGGGCTGCTTGGGCTTGAATCCTGGATCTATCATATGAACTGTGCTCTCTAGGCAAATTTTTCTGAAGGTCTCTGAGTCCCAGGTTTCTTATATGTAGAATAGGAGTAATATTAGTAAATCTTCACAGGGGGTTTTAGGAGGATTAGATGAGATAATGGATAAAGAGGGGTTGATCCAAGGTAAATGTTCACTAACACCATGCTAGTTGTCTACATTATTCAATCTTTACAACTGGCTTCTGAAGAATCTCTGTTTTGACAAGTTCCTGGAGGTCTGGAGAGGCTAGGTGACTTCTCATGAATACACAGCTGGTAAGTGCAGAGCCAGGATTTGAACCAGGTCTGTGTTTGCAGTCTACATTCTTTCCATCCCCCAACGCAGGACAATATAGATGTTGGGGGGAGCCAGCTGCAGGCTTGCCCACTTCTTGGACACACACCCTAACCTCTTGTGGGTTCTACCAGTCCATACAACCTGACCCTGCAAGCCCAGGTGGGAGTGGTGGTGGTCATCTGGAGTGGGAGCTCAGGCTGGACTCCTGGGCAAGGTCTGAGGCCCCATTCTTATACACTGGCCTCAGACCAGAGCTGAGGAGTGTGGGCAGACAGGGGCTTGATGTCTAAGTCACTGCAGGTCCCAGGTCCCAACTTCCCAGGAGCACGTGGTTGTTTCCACACTGGTGGAGAGGGAAGATGGCGTTATCCCTGCACATACCAGGACAGCATATCAAACTCTCAGTGCTTGGCCAACAAGCCCCTCTCAGGGCCACCCCTAGCCCATATGGTGCCTTTGTGCATATTAGAAAGAGACACCACTTCCCTCAGGGCTCTTGACTTCCATCTGTTGGAAAAAATCATTGCAATAAATATAAATATCAATGACATCTATGACATAAATAGAGGTCCTGATCTCTCCTCATCAGAGAAGAAATAGCTTCATGGTTAGATTCCAGACAGAGTGCCCTTGGGAGGGAAGTCAGACTGTCAGCTGATCTCACTTTGCAGGGTCCCTGCGCCGAGACATGGAGCGCACCTGGAGCCCATGGTCTCCCTGGAGCAAGTGCTTGGCTGCTTGCGGTCACACAGGGGTCCAGACCCGTACACGCACCTGCCTGGTAGAGACAATGTTTCTGTGCAGCGAGGCCATTGAGGAGGGCCGGCTCTGTGTGAGCCGGGATTGTACAGGTACTACCGTTGCTCCTGGCACTGAGCAGGGCCTGGGGGAGTGAGTCTGAAGCAGCCGAGGAGGAAGGGTTGGAAGGCCAGACTGAGACGGATTCTTCATTTATTCACCATATATTAATTGGGCATGCAGTAAATACTTTGATGGGATATATACAGGGTTAGTGGGAGTACAGGAGCCCTGGTGGCACAGTGGTTGAGAGCTCAGCTGCTAACCAAAAGGTCAGCGGCTTGAATCCACCAGCCACTCCTTGGAAACTCTATGGGGCAGTTCTGCTCTGTCCTACAAGGTCACTATGAGTGGAAATCGACTTGATGGCAGTGGGCTTTTTTTTTGTTGTTGTTGGGGAGCATAGAGCAAGGTCAATTACCATAGGAAAGCTTCCTGGAGGAAGTGTCCTGTGCTGATTCTTGATGGATGAGTAGGAGTTAGTTATGCAGGCTGATAAGGAAAGGTAATAAAGGCCTCAGGAAGAGGGGGAGCAGATGTGAGTCTACAGGCTGGGATGTGGCTGAGGGAGGGGCCAGAATCCACGTACCCCTGCTGATCTGGCCCTGTCTCTCACAGCCTGTGACCTGACCTGTCCCATGGGCCAAGCGAATGCTGACTGCGATGCCTGCATGTGCCAGGACTTCGTGCTGCAAGGAGCTGTCTCCCTCCCCGGGGGTGCCCCAGCCTCAGGGGCTACTGTCTACCTGCTGACCAAGACACCTAAGCAACTGACCCAGACGGATGGTAGTGGAAGGTTCCGAGTCCCTGGCTTGTGCCCCGACGGCAAAAGCATCCTGAAGATCACAAAGGCCAAGTTTGCCCCCATTGTGCTCACAATGCCTAAGACTAGCCTGAAGGCAGCCACCATCAATGCAGAGTTCATGAGGGCAGGTACCTGAGTTCTCTGGCGTAGGGCTGGGGAAGAGGGCTCCACTTTTATTTATTTTGAACATTTTATTGTGGTTTGGGTGAAAGTTTACAAAGTAAATTAGTTTCCCATTCAACACTTTATACACATTTTGTTTCATGACCCTAGTTGCAATCCCCTCAATGTGACAGCACTCCACCCACTTCCTCCCTGAGTTCCCCGTTGCCATTCATCCATCTTTCCTGCCTCTTCCTGCCTTCTGAACTTTGTTTTTGGGCAAATGCTACCCTTTTGGTCTCAGGTTATGATTGATTGTTCTGAGAAGCACATTCCTCACGGGTGTTATTGTTCACTTTACAGGCCTGTTTTTTGGCTGAAAGGTGATCTCCAGGAGTGGGTTCTGTTCCAGGTTTGAAGGGTACCTAAGGGCCATAGTCTCAGGGGTTCTACCCATCTCTATCAGACCAGTAAGTCTGGTCTTTTTTAAGAATTTGAATTTTGTTCCACGTTTTTCTCCAACTCTGACCAGGACCTTCTACTGTGATCCTGATCAAAGCAGTTGGTAGTGGTAGCCGGGCACCATCTAGTTCTTCTCGTCTCAGGCTAATGGAGGCTGCGGTTCATGTGGTCCATTCGTCCTCTGGACTAATTGCTTCCTTGAGAATCTGATTTTCTTTCCTCTTCTTTGCTCCAGATGGGAAGAGATCAATAGTTGTATATTGCAAGCTTTTAAGACCCCAGTCGCTACTCACCAAAGTGGGGTGTAGAACGTTGTCTTTATGGACTATGTTATGCCAATTGATTTAGATGTTCCCTGAGACTATGGTCCTACACCATCAAGCACAGTGACTCAGTCCCTTGAGGTGTTTGATTATGGCTAAGAAGTTTTTGTAACTGTGCCCCTGTGTGCTCTATTATATACATGGTTATATTTGTAGCACATAAGAATGCATATGTGGAAATATCCTCTGCCAAACCTATATATGCTTGTGGATGTACTCCCATATGCCATCCCACACTTGTTCAGCTTACATATCTACCTATGTAGCCAGTCGTAAATTATCGTTTATTACTGTTATTGCAGGACTGTGTATGTAACAGTATTTACCACTGTTGCCTTTTAGTCTTGCATACCTCTCAGTGTCTTCGTTTGCTTTGGTCATGTTGTACTGACTTCCCTCATATTGTGTATTGTCTTTCCCTTCACATTCACATAATCCCAAATTAATATGTGTCTACTATCTAGTTGGAGCCCTGCTGGCGTAGTGGTTAAGAAGCCTGGCTACTAACCAAAAGGTCAGCAGTTCAAATCCACTAGCTGCTCCTTAGAAACTCTATGGGGCAGTTCTACCCTGTCCTGTAGGCTCGCTATGAGTTGGAATAGACTTGACGGCAATGGGTTTTTCTAAGAAATATGGATAAAATCAAGTATGTAGAAATAATTTGGGGGCCCTGGTGGTGCAGTGGGTAGGCATTTGGCTGCTAACCAAAAGGTTGGTGGTCCGAATCCACCAGCCACTCCTTGGAAACCCTATGGGGCAGTTCTACTGTCCTATAGGGTCACTATGAGTTGGAATTGATTGAAAGCAATGGCTCTTTATCTAGTTAGTGATTTTCCCTCCCTCCCTCTCCCATCTCTGGTAATCACGAAAGAATGTTTCTTTCTGTGTGTAAACCTTGTCTTGACTTTTTATAATAGGGGCGTCATACAATATTTGTCCTTTGTTATTGACTTATTTCACTCAGCATAATGTCCTCCAGGTTCATCCATGTTGTGAAATATTTTGTGGATTCATCGCTATTCTTTAACGTTGAGTAGTATTCAGTTGTGTAGTGTACCAGTTTGTTTATCCATTCTTCTGCTGATGGGAACTTAGATCGTTTTCATCTTTTTGCTATTGTGAATAATGCTGCAATGAACATGTGTGTGCATATATCTATTCGTGTCACGGCTCTTATTTCTCTAGGATGTATACCTAGTAGTGGGATTGCTGGATCATATGGTATTTCTAACTTTTTGAGGAAGCACCATACCATTTTCCACAGCGGTTGTACCACTCTACATTCCCACCAGCAGTGTATGAGAGTTCCAATCTCCCCAAACCCTCGCCAGCATTTGTTGTTTTCTGTTTTTTTGATCATTGCCACTATTGCTGGGGTGAGGTGATAGCTCATGTTGTTTTGATTTGCATCTCTCTATTGGCTAATGGGAAACCCTGGTGGCGTAGTGGTTAAAAGCTACAGCTGCTAACCAAAAGATCGGCAGTTTGAATCCACCAGGTGCTCCTTGGAAACACAAGGGGGCAGTTCCACTCTGTCCTGTAGGGTCACTATGAGTCAGAATCGATAGGGTTGCTATGAGTCGGAATCCCAGTGGGTTTGGTTTGGTTTAATGGCTAATGACCGCAAGCATCTCTTTGTGTATTTGTTGGCTGCTTGAATGTCTTCTTTGGTGAAGTGTCTGTTCATGTCCTTTGCCTATTTTTTAATTGGATTGTCTTTTTGTTGTTGAGGTGGTGAAGTTTTCTATAAATTTTAGAGATTAGTCCCTTGTCAGATACGTCATTGCCAAAAAAATTTTCCCAGTCTGTAGGTTCTCCTTTTTCCACTTTTGGAGAAGTCTTTTGATGCACATAAGTGTTTAATTTTTAGGAGGTCCCAGTCATCTAGTTTATCTTCTGCTGTTTGTGCATTTTTAGTTATATCTGATAGTCTCTTTATGCCATAAATTAGGGCCCCTAAGTTTGCCCCTATTTTTTCCTTCCATGATCTTTATAGTTTTAGGTTTTACATTTAGGTCTTTGATCCATCTTGAGTTAGTTTTTGTGTATGGAATTAGGTATGGATCCTGTTTCATTTTTCTGCAAATGGTTATCCAGGTTTGCCAGCACCATTTGTTAGACTATCTCTTCCATATTTAATGAATTTTGCCCCTTTGTTGAAGATCAGCTGTCCATAGGTGGATAGACATACTTCTGGTTTCTAAATTCTGTCCCATTGGTCCATATGTCTGTCATTGTACCAGTACCAGGATGTTCTGACTACCACGGCTGTATAGTAGGTTCTGAGATCAGGAAGTGTGAGGCCTCCTACTTTGTTCTTCTTCAGTAGTGCTTTGCTTATCTGGAGCCTGTTTGCTTTCCGTATAAAGTTTGTGATTAGTTTTTCTATCTCATTAAAGAATGTTGATGGAATCTGGATTGGGATTTCATTATATCTACAGATCACTTTGGGTAGTATTGACATTTTCACAATGTTAAGTCTTCCTATCCATAAGCATGGTATGTTTTTCCATTTATGTAGGTCTCTTTTGGTTTGTTTGTAGAGTTGTGTAGTTTTCTTTGTATAAGTCTTTTACTTCCCTGGTTAGGTTTATTCCTAAGTATTTTGTCTTTTGGGGGGCTATTGTAAATGGTATTGTTTTCCTGGTTTCCTTTTCGGAGTTCTCTTTGTTAGTATAGAGGAATCTGGCTGATTTTTGTATGTTGATCTTGTACCCTGCCACTTTGCTGAATTCTTCTATTAATTGCAGTAGTTTTCTTGCAGAATCTCTGGGATTTTCTATGTATAGGATCATAGCAATGATTGTGAGGATGATGCAGGACTGGGCAATGTTTCGTTCTGTTGTACATGGGGTTGCAATGAGTCAGCACCAATTCAATGGCACCTAATAACAACAACAGAATCATATCATCTGCAAATAAGGATAGTTTTACTTCTTCCTTACCAATTTTATTTCTCTTTCTTGCCTTATTGTTCTGGCTAGGACTTCCAGTACAATGTTGAATAGGAGTGGTGAGAAAGGGAATCCTTATCTGGTTGTTGTTCCCCAGGGAAATGTTTTCTGTCTCCCTCCATTTGAGAATAATGTTGGCTATTGGTTTTGTACATATGCCCTTAATTATGTTGAGGAATTTTCCTTCTTTACCTATTTCACCGAGAGTTTTTTATCGGGAATGGGTGTTAGATTTTATCAAATGTCTTTTCTGTATCAATTGATATGGTTCTTTTCCTTTGTTTTATTTATGTGGTAGATTATGTTGATTGGTTTTCTAATGTTGAACCATCCTTGCGTACCTGGTAGGAAACTCACTTGGTCATTTTATATATATATTTGATATGTTGTTGGATTCTATTGGCTAGGATTTTGTTGAGAATTTTTGCATCTATATTCATGAGAGATATTGGTCTATACTTTTCTTTTTTTAGTGGTGTCTTTGCCTGGCTTTGGTATCAGGGTTATGCTTGCTTCATAGAATGAATTTGGGAGTATTCCTTCCTTTTCTATGTTCTGGAATAGTTTGAGTATAATTGGTGTCAGCCCTTCTCTGAATATTTGGTAGAATTTTCCAGTGAATCCATCTGTGCCAGAGCTTTTTTTTGTTGAGAGTTTTTTTTAAATGACCTCTTCAGTTTGTTCTTTTGTTCTGAGTCTGTTGAAATTTTCTATCTCAGTTTGTGTTAGTTTAGGTAGGTAGTGTGTTTCAAAAAATTTGTCCATTTCTTCTAGGTTTTCAAATTTGTTGGAATAACATTTCCTCACACTATTTTGTTATGATCCTTTTTATTTCAGTCGGTTCTGTAGTAACATCACCCATCTCATTTCTTATTTGTGTTATTTGCATCTTCTCCTTCTCTTCCTTTGTAAATTTGGCCAGTGGTTTGTTGATTTTATTAATCCTTTCAAAGAACCAACTTTAGTCTTGTTGATTCTATTGTTTTTCTGTTTTCAGTTTCATTTATTTCTGTTCTAATCTTCATTATTTCCTTTCTTCTGGTGACTGGGGTTTTTTGTTTTTTTTTTTGTTTTTTTCCCTGCTCTTTTTCTATTTGTTGGAGTTGTATGGTTAATGTGTTGATTTTAGCTCTTTCTTCTTTTTTGAGAGTGTGCATTTACTGCTATAAATTGACCTCTGAGCACTGCTTTTGCTGTGTCCAATAGGTTTTGGTATGCTGTGTTTTCATTCTCATTTGATTCTAGGAATTTTACTTCTTCTGTTACCCAGTGGTTTTTAAGGAGGATGTTATTCAGTTTCCATGTATTTGATTTTTTTCCTTGTTCTTCCTGTTATTGATTTCTAGTTTTATAGCATTGTGATCTGAGAAGATGCTTTGTATTATTTCAATGTTTTTGAATTTATTGAGGCTTGTTCTGTAGCCTAACATATGGTTTACTCTGGAGAATGATCCATGTATGCTGGAAAAGAATGTGTATTGTGCTGTTGGGTGGAGTGTTCTATATACATCTGTGAGATCAAGTTGATTGATTGTGTTGTTTAGATCTTCCGTATCTTTGTTGAGTTTCTTTCTAGTTGTTCTGTCCTTCATTGAAAGTGGTATGGTAAAGTCTCCTACTATTATTGTGGAGTTGTCTATTTCTCTTTTCAATTCTGTTAAAGTTTATCTGGAAATGTCCTGATTTTTCTATTGCATTTGAGAGATAATTTTGCTGGATATGTAATTCTTAGTTGGCAATTTTTTTCTTTCAGGGTTTTATATATGTCATCCCATTGCCTTCTTGCCTGCATGGTTTTTGCCGAGAGACCAGAGCTTAGTCTTATTGGTTCCCCTTTGTTTGTAGGTAATATTTCACTTTTCCCAAGTTGCTCTCTGGATTCTTTCTTTGTCTTCGGTTTTGGAAAGTTTGATTATGATATGTCTTGGTGATTTTCTTTTGCAGTCTATCCTTAGTGGGGCTGAGTGGGCTTCTTGGTTGGATATCTTCTCATCTTTCATGATATTAGGGAAGTTTTCTGCCAGCACATCTTCAAAAATTTTCTGTTTTTTTTTTTTTTTTAAATCTCTTCCTGTTCTGGAATTCTGATCACGCATAAATTATTCCTCTTGATAGTGTCCCATATAACTCTTAGGTTTTCTCCATTCTTTTTTCTGATTTTTCTTCAACAGATTGGTATCAAGGGATTTGTTCTCTATTTTGCTGATTCTGTCTTCCACTGACTCAATTTTACTCCTTTGTCCTTCCAATGTGTTATCTATTTCTGAAAGTTTAGAGTTAATCTTCTGGATTTCTAGTTGCTGTTTTTGTATGGTTTCTAATTATTTATTTTGTCGTTTTGTTTTTGTATTGTTTTCCTGAATTCTTCTAGTGTTTTGATCTCTCTCTTGATCTCTTTGAGGATCCTCTATACAAGGCTTTTGAATTCCTTATCAGGTAGTTCAATTACCATTTCTTCCTCAAGAAGGTTTTCTTGCTCTTTATTTTGGTCACTTGCTTTAGCCATCTTGTTCTTTTTCTTTATATGATTTGATATTGTCTTCAAGGCATTAAGGCATTATTGTATTTGTTTATTGATTGTATGTTTGTTTGCTTGATTCTGATTTTTTTTGTTTTGTTATATCTGGGCTGGCAGGCTTGCGTGGCTCACTGGACTCAGGTCTGGGGGTGCTGCAGTGCTCACCACCTGTTTCTGGGTGAGTGTAGCAGTGACTATTAGTGTGAGTGTGGGTCTCTGCTGGCTGGTCATGCTGGGCAGCTGTGGATGGTCTGGGAAGGTGTTGGCTGTCATCTATCGTCTTTCGAGTCCTATGGGACCAGGCAGTTGCACTTGTCAAGTGGGTAGGGCTGTAAGTGTGGTGGGTGTGGTGGGCGAGCAGGGATGTAATTGCTGTTGATTGCTGGGTAGGGGAGAGGGGGAGGGTGGAAGGTGGGGAGGTTAGGTGATGAGTGGGTGAGTGCATGGGAATGCAGTTGCCACCAGGTAGAGGAAGGGGGGGAATGGATGACATGCAGGTGAGCTCACAGGTGTGTGGTTTCTGCCACTCGCCAGGTGAGGGGGGTGGGTGATGGGCATGTGAGCGTGTAGGTGCATGGTAGCCACCACTTGGCTAGTTGAGAGTGGTTGGTGCTATGCCAGAGTGGACTACCCATCGCTCGGTGGGGTCGGAGGATGGGAGGCTTGGGAAAGGTGGCTGGCGCCTGGATAGGCCTATCACTCAGCAGCGTCAGGGATGCAAGGGATGGGGCAGGCAGCTGGCACCGCATCGGAACAGTCTGCTGCCACTTGGCAGAGTCTGTGGGGGGGAGGGGAGGGAGGAGCAGCTGGGGCCACACCGGAGCAGCCTGCCTCCACTCAGTGGGGCCATCAGGTGGGGGAGGGGTGGTGGAAGTCAGGGCTGGGGGGAAAGAGGGGCTCATACCTTGGTCCCCAGCAGTTGGGGCTGCAGGGATGGGGTGTGGGTTTGTGCCGCTAATCACCAGGATGGTGGAGGGAGGGGGAATGTGCTCCTCTGGTCACTTGGCAAGGGTGCCTGGGTTCTTCCTGTTGGCTGCAGCCAGCAATTGGGACTTTATTTCATTCCAGGTATGTCTACACAGTTACTCTGTCCTGTTGGGAATTCTGTGAAGTTGCCTTCTCCACTCCTTACCCAGGATTCCTGCTATCTTTGTCTCAAGATGGCCACATTCTGCTGGGCCGGCTGGAAGGGACCCTCCACTCTGTCTCTTCTTGTTCACTGTTTTCAGTCAGTTTCTGTCTTAGGCTGGGTTCTCTAGAGAAGCAAAACTGGTAAAGCATATAAATATACAGAGAGATTTATATCAAGGAAACAGCTCATGCGATTGTAGAGGCTGGAATGTCCCAAGTCTGTGGATCAGGATAGAGGCTTCTCTCGATTCATGTAGCTGCAGGGACTGGCAAACTCAAGATTGGTAGGTCGGAGAGGAGGGCTCCTGCTCGCGGGCTGTGAAGGTCAATGAATCCTAAGACTGGCAGATAAGCTGATAGCTCAAGTCCCAAGAACCAGAGGTCAGATGAACAGGAGGCAGCTGCAGGATCCAGAGAAAGCAAAAAAGCCAGAACGTCTGCTTATATTTGGATGCAGGCCATACTCTCAAGGAAACTCCCTTTCAACTGATTGGCTCCTCACAGTAGATTCCATCATGGGAGTGATCACATATAAACACTGAGAATCATGGCCCAGCGAAGTTGACACACAATCTTAACCATCACAGTTTCTTTTTCCAGTTGGTGTTTGATCCAGTTCATTATCCTTTCATTTGATGCTCAGGGTTCCAGGATTGTCATCTGTATCTGTTTTACTTGTTTTCTTGGGTCTCTGCTGTACAGGGACAGTGTGGTGTGTCTGACTAAGCTGCCATGTTGGCCGGAACTCTAGGGCTGAACTTTTAAATAGAGGTGTCACAGTGCTAAGAGCTGGCTTCCTAGCTAACTCAGAGTAAAACACAAAATCCTTACCATGGCCCACAAGACTCTATATCATCTTGCCCTTCATTACTTCTCTGATCTCTTCTCCAACTACTCCCTACACACACACAGTCACTCTACTCCAGCCACACTGGCCTCCTCTCTGTTCCTCAAATACACATGCCTGCCTCAGGGCCTTTGCACTTGCTATTTACTCTGTTTGGAGTGTTCTTCCCCTAGACATCAGAATGGCTTATTTCCTCAAATGCATGAGGTCTGCCCTCTCTGGTCACTTTATCTAAGACAATTGATTACAGTGCAGTGTGGGGTTTGGAGGCCATAAAGAGAGAGGCTTGAGGAGTTAAATCATGCAGAATGGCCAGAAAGTTCTGCTGGGGGAAGCAGAGCAGGAATATTACACTATTTAAAACAGCCAGCTCTGTCCCAATGGCAGTACTGGGGAATCTCGGGCTGGCACAAGGTCCCCTGGGTTCTCCATTGCCCCATCCAGGTGCTGCTTGAGAGGCCATGGGAGCAGGTCCCAAGCAGAGGGTGTGGAAGGGGTGGACTCCACTCTGGACCAGTTCCATTAGGTAGTATTAGGGCCATTCGAGAAGGGCTGGGGGTGGGGTTGAAGTCACACAATTTTAACACAAGTCAAAGAATCTGAGAGAGCAAGGCTCTGTAGAATTTGTCACAGAGAAAAACCCAAACCACTATTTCTTATTTGCTACTATGATCCCCTCTCCCAGAGACTCCATATATCGTGATGAATCCAGAGACAAAAGCACGGAGAGCTGGGCAGAGTGTGTCTCTGTGCTGTAAGGCCATGGGGAAGCCCAGTCCAGACAAATATTTCTGGTGAGTATTCTGCCATCTACTCTACCCAATTCTCCTCTCAGAAACCAGAGCTTTCTTGCATTGGGTCTGGACTTGTTAATAATCACAATAACCAACAGAATAAAGTTATAAGCCAGACACAGGTACACAGCCCAGATGTTGGCACTTGAAAGTGGGAGCCATCAGGGTTGAAGCTGCCCAGACAATCATCAAATTCTCTGGTTGTCCTCTCGAAGTGGAGGGGGTGGCACCCACAGAGCATCTCTGGTCTCAGGGTCCCAACTGCATATCCTCAGGAGAAAGAACAAAGTTCCTCAGCCCTGACAAAGGCAAACAAGGATACGATCCCCAATGGCTATGAGTCCTTTAGCCTTCACAAACATTTTACAGCCATTATTTTGTTTGACCCTTCCAACAACCCTGTGAAGTCCCATTTTATAGAACAAGTACTGAAGCTCAGAGAGGTGAAATGATTTGTCCAAGGATCCATAACCAGTTAAGTGGCAGGGCTTGACTCCCAGGCCGGTCAAGTGCTCTTGGGTGAGCTGAGTCAGAGGTTATGTTGGTATCTGCAGGGACTCGTCTACCATCTGTCTCCCCAGCTGCTTGCTCCTGGGCACTGCCCCCCAAGGATACTTGCCCTCCCAATGGCCCCTCAGGCTCCACCTCTCCATCCCTTACAGGTACCACAATGACACACTGCTGGACCCCTCTCTCTACAAGCACCAGAGCAAGCTGGTGCTGAGGAAACTACAGCAGGACCAGGGTGGGGAGTACTTCTGCAAGGCCCAGAGTGATGCTGGGGCTGTGAAGTCCCATGTTGCCCAGCTGACTGTCATAGGTAAGCTTGTCTGGGTCCCTGGGGTCCTGGGTCTGCCACAGAGATGGCCGAGCATCCCAGGGAGCATAACTGGGCACTAGAATCTTTTCTGTGCCATGCATAGTGCCGTGTCCTCTGGCAAGTGAAGATGGTACAGACGTAATTCTTCCCTCACCAAGCATCACCCTAGGTGGGGTGAAGAGATGTAATATAGAAAAATGCAGCTAAAACAGAAGGAGCTGTGGTCTCTACAGAGGAAAGACAGATAACTTCCAGGTGGGAACGATCCCAGATGGATTCTTGAGGGAACAACTTTCCAGATGGGTCTTGGCTGCCTACTGGAATCACCTGCTGAGTTAAAAAAAAAAAAACCAATGCCTAGCTCTTACCCTAGAGATTCTAATTTAATTGGCTTGGGATGTGGCCTGGGCCCCATGAGGTTCAAAAAGCTCTCCAGGTGATTTTAATTTGCAGCCAAGTTGAGAATTCCTAGTTTTAAAGAACAGGCAGGGGCTGTGTGTATGGAGATGGGAGCATTCCAGACTGAAGGGCCAGGGTGAGCAAAGGTACAAAAGTGGGAAACCAAAGGGGCTTCAAAGAACAGGTGACCTGATCAGAGGTGGCTTCAAGCAGTGAATTAGAGCAGGAACGACTCAAAGCTGAAGGCAATCAGGAACCTGTACTTGAAGAGTGAGGGCTGGCAGTAGAATATATTAGTAATTAGCCTAACTAAAAACAAAACAAAATGAAAGGCAGAGGAAGAGAGATTTTACTGGAAAGATCCTGAAATATTTCACAGACTCCAAGAAAGTTGAGCAACAGACCTCAGGACAGGCAGGATGCAGGGCATTCTGGACGTTGGCAGAGGAGATGGGGAGCCCCCTCAGCAGGTATCACGGATTGAATTGTGTCCCCCAAAAATATCAGTCAACTTGGCTAGGTCATAATTCCCAGTATTGTATGATTGTCTACCATTTTATCATCTGATGTGATTTCCCTATGTGTTGAAAATTCTATCACTATGATGTAATAAGATGGATTCGCGGCAGTTATACTGATGAGATCTACAAGATCAGATAGTGTCTTAAGCCAATCTCTTTTGAGATATAAAAAAGGGAAGCAAGCAGAGAGACAGGGGGACCTCATACCACCAAGAAAGCAGTGCCGGGAGCAGACTGCATCCTTTGGACCTGAGGTTCCTGCACTGAGATGCTCCCAAACCAAGGGAAGACTGATGACGAGGACCTTCCTTCAGAGCCAACAGAGAGAGAAAGCCTTCCCCTGGAGCTGGCACCCTGAATTTGGGCTTCTAGCCTACTGAACTGTGAGAGAATAAACTTCTCTTTGTTAAAGCCATACACTTGTGGTATTTCTGTTATAGCAGCACTAGATAACCAAGACATCAGGGGTTCTCAACCTATCATGCCAATGCTACTCATTTGTCGGTTATTTTTAATAGTTATTTTTTTAAATACTGTCTTTACTATTCTTTTTTATTCACTATTCTTTATTATGAACTATTTAAATTTATAGGCAATAACTTAACCACGTATAATTTCCAAAAAATATATCTGGCCCTGTCTTAGTTATCTAGTGCTGCTATAAAAGAAATACCACAAGTAGATGGCTTTAACAAACAAAAATTTATTCTCTCACAGTTTAGGAGGCTAGAAGTCCAAATTCGGGGCACCAGCTCTAGGGGAAAGCTTTCTCTCTCTGTCAGCTCTGCAGGAAGTTCCTTGTCTCCTGTCAACATCTGTGGGCCTGGCATTCCTTGGAGATCTCCATGTGTCTTGGCATCAATCTTCCTCTGGGTCTAGGAGGTTCTCAGTTTAGGGACTCTGGGTCCAAAGGATGTGCTCCGTGCCTGGCTCTTCTTTCTTGGTGGTAGCACGTCCCTCTCTTCTCTTTGCTCAATTCTCCTTTTATCTCTTGCAAGATAAAAGGTATGACCCAAGCAAGGTGGTGACTTGGGTAAGGGTGGTGACTTAAGATACACCCCACCATAATTCTGCATCATAAAGGTTTTAGGATTTACAGTACATAATTGTATCACAAAATGGAGGATGGCTACATCATTACATAACCGCCAACTTACATCATTTCATAACATAACTGCCAAACCACTGAGAATCATGGCCTAGCCAAGATGTGGTCGTAGGTATGTGATTTTTCTGAGATGAACAATTCTTGGTATTGTTCCAAGCTAAACAAAGTACAATCTAGCTCAGTGGTAGTTGCATTCTTGAAAAATTTAGTGCACGTTAAAGCCATGCAAAAAACACGAGGCTCCCACATAAACCAGAGACTTCGTCAGCCTGAGACCAGAAGAACTAGATGGTGCCTGGCTACCACCAATGACCACCCTGACAGGGAACACAACAGAGAGCCCATGATGGAGCAGGAGAAAGGTGGGGTACAAAACTTAAATTCCAGTAAGAAGATCAGACTTAATGGTCTGACTGAGACTGGAGGAACCCCGGAAAGCATGGCCTCTGGATTCTCTGTCAGCCCAGAACTAAAACAATTTCCAAGGCTAACTCTTCAGACAAAGATTGGACTGGACTGTGGGACATAAAATGATACTCGTGAAGAGTGTGCTTCCTAGCTCAAGTAGATACATGAGATTAAACAGGCAGCTTCTATCCGGAGGTGAGATGAGAAGGAAGAGAGGGTTAGGAGCTGGTTCAACGGACACAGGAAATCAGGAGTGTAATGGAGGAGTGTGCCATCATAGAATAGGGAGAGCAATTAGGGTCACATAACAATGTATGTATAAATTTTTGTATAAGAGACTAACTTGAAATGTAATCTTTCACTTAAACGACAATAAACAAAAAATAAAATAAAAAATAAAAAAAACACTAGGCTCTAATAATTTTAAACAGGTTTTTCACCTACATGAATGTCTGGTGAGATATGTGAAAGTCATGCAGGATACAGAACAGTTCTTTCTGCAGGACAGTGCCAGGCCTGGCAGGACATAGAGCATCAATGACTCTGCCCACTCGACGCCAGTAGCACCCCTAGTTTTTGTGATATCCCTAAACACCTCCCCACTGAGAACCACTACTCTAGTGGTCTCAGCAACCAACTCTGTTTCCCCATCTATAAAATGGGGTTAGTAATAGCTGCCTGTCTCTCTCATAGCAGTGCTATGAGAATCAGGATCATGGATATGAAAGTACTCTGAAAACCATAAAGCACTGCAAAGAGGTGAGATAGAGGCAAAATTTGTGTAGGATGTAAACTTACATCTAATGTCCACCCCATTTCCCTCCACAGCCCCTGATGAGACCCCTTGCAATCCAACCCCTGAGAGCTACCTTATCCGGCTGCCCCATGACTGCTTCCAGAATGCCACCAACTCCTTCTATTATGATGTGGGCCGCTGCCCTGTCAAGACCTGTGCGGGGCAGCAGGATAAAGGGATCAGGTGTCGGGATGCTGTGGAGAACTGCTGTGGCATCTCCAAGACAGAGGAGAGGGAGATCCAGTGCAGTGGGTATACACTGCCCACTAAAGTGGCCATGGAGTGTAGTTGCCAGCGGTGTACGGAGACCAGGAGTATTGTGCGGGGCCGTGTCAGCGCTGCTGACAATGGGGAGCCCATGCGCTTTGGCCACGTGTATATGGGGGGCAGTCGTGTGAGCATGACTGGCTACAAAGGGACTTTCACCCTCCATGTCCCCCAGGACACTGAGAGGCTGGTGCTTACATTTGTGGACAGGCTGCAGAAGTTGGTCAATACCACCAAAGTACTGCCCTTCAACAAGAAAGGGAGCGCAGTGTTCCATGAGATCAAGATGCTTCGGCGGAAAGAGCCCATCATCTTGGAGGCCTTGGAGACCAACATTATCCCCCTGGGGGAAGTGATTGGTGAAGACCCTGTGGCTGAGCTGGAGATTCCATCTAAGAGTTTCTACAGGCAGAACGGGGAGCCCTACACAGGAAAAGTGAAGGCCAGCGTGACCTTCGTGGATCCCCGGAATATTTCCACAGCGACAGCCTCCCAGAGTGACCTGAACTTCATCAGTGATGAAGGAGACATCTTACCTCTTCGGACATATGGCATGTTCTCTGTGGACTTCACAGATGAGGCCACCTCAGAGTCACTCAATGCCGGCAAGGTGAAGGTCCACCTTGACTCAACCCAGGTCAAGATGCCAGAGCATGTGCCCATGATGAAACTCTGGTCACTCAACCCAGACACAGGGCTGTGGGAGGAAGAAGGTGACTTCAAATTTGAAAGACAAAGGCGGAACAAAAGAGAAGAGAGAACTTTCCTAGTGGGCAACATGGAGATCCGTGAGAGGAGGCTCTTTAACCTGGATGTTCCTGAAAACAGGAGGTGCTTTATAAAGGTGAGGGCCTACCGGAGCCAGAGGTTCATGCCCAGTGAGCAGATCCAGGGGGTTGTGGTCTCTGTGATCAACCTGGAGCCCAGGACTGGCTTCTCATCCAACCCCAGGGCCTGGGGCCGCTTTGACAGCGTCATTACAGGCCCCAATGGGGCTTGTCTGCCTGCCTTCTGCGATGACCAGTCCCCTGATGCCTACTCTGCATATGTCTTGGCAAGTCTGGCCGGGGAGGAACTGGAGGCAGTGGAATCTTCTCCTAAATTCAACCCAAATGCAATTGGCGTCCCTCAGCCCTACCTCAACAGGCTCAAGTACCGGCGGACAGACCATGAGGACCCTCAGGTTAAGAAGACAGCTTTCCAGATCAGCATGGCCAAGCCAAGACCCAGCTCAGCTGAAGAGAGCAACGGGCCTATCTATGCCTTGGAAAACCTTCGGGCATGCGAGGAGGCGCCGCCCAGTGCAGCCCACTTCCGGTTCTACCAGATTGAGGGGGATCGATATGACTATAACACCGTCCCCTTCAACGAGGATGATCCCATGAGCTGGACTGAAGACTACCTTGCGTGGTGGCCCAAACCAATGGAATTCCGAGTCTGCTACATCAAGGTGAAGATCGTGGGGCCAGTGGAGGTGAATGTACGGTCCCGCAATACGGGGGGCACCCACCGACGGACAGTGGGGAGGCTGTATGGAATCCGGGATGTGAAGAGCACGCGGGACAGGGATCAGCCCAATGTCTCATCTGCCTGCCTGGAGTTCAAGTGCAGCGGCATGCTCTACGACCAGGACCGGGTGGACCGCACCCTGGTGAAGGTTATTCCGCAGGGCAGCTGCCATCGAGCCAGTGTGAACTCTATGCTGCATGAGTACCTGGTCAACCACCTGCCACTGGCAGTCAACAACGACACCAGCGAGTATACCATGCTGGCGCCCCTGGACCCGCTGGGCCACAACTACGGCATCTACACCGTCACTGACCAGGACCCTCGCACCGCCAAGGAGATCGCACTTGGCCGGTGTTTCGATGGTACATCTGATGGCTCCTCCAGAATCATGAAAAGCAACGTGGGAGTGGGCCTTACCTTCAACTGCGTAGAGAGGCAGGTGGGCCACCAGAGCGCTTTCCAGTATCTCCAGACCACCCCAGCCCGGCCACCTGCCACAGGCGATACTCGTGGAAGATTGGCCTCCAGGAGGCAGCAGCGAGCAAGCAGGGCTGTCCAGCGTAGGGGACTAGGGGTGGCCTCGCTGAGGCTTCCTGGAGTTGCTCAACAGGCGCTGAGCAACTAAGTCTCCTGGCGCTCCGTCCTCTTTTCTTCTCACGTCACCTGACAGCCGTTGTGAGACTGCAGCATAAACTGTGACTCGGTTAATTTAAGCACATCTGTTCTTGTGCAATTTGCGTTTCTTCATACCTTTACTTATTGTCTTTGTCCCATGATACTGATTGGCAAGCAGCCCCCAAAATGGCAAAATAAAGCCCCTTTGTCTTGTTCTTTAAAAGAAACCCAAGAAATTGGCGACTGGTAAAACGCTGTGGCTTTGACTGTTCTTCTTTAGTGCCATCAACGGAAATGTACTTCCTTTCCTTTTGCATGGTTTTCCCCACCTCTATGATAATAAAATTTGATGTTGAAGATCAAATAACCAATATAAAGCATATTTCTTGGCCTTGCTCCACGGGATCTAAGTAAGCACTCCATCACAGTTCATATGTATAAACGGTGGTGAAATAAAGGAATAAACTAGAATATTTTTACTTGAAATGTATGTAACTTATTTATTTCTTTGCTGAATTTGGAACTCTAATGCACACTCAGTGTTCAGCTATTGGATACAGGGTGATCGTAGCTCCCCTACCGAGTAAGGAAGGAACATCTTGCATCCACAACCGCATCAGGTTACTAATTGGATTAGCATGTTTCGCTTACACTTGCTTTGGTTCTTGCTAGAAGCCCCGTGTAGCCCAGGGCATATGTGAATAAATGCACATTTTGTACTTTGATTCTGAGGCCAGTGTCCTGTCTTTTATCCATTAAAGTGAACCAGCTGCTCAAAGGGGCAATGGGGACTCTGAAAAGCAGTCACAAGGTGGTGTGAGACCTGGTCCCTAAGTTAAGGGGCTGGGTAAGTAGGCACACACTTCAGCAGTCAGGTTTGTTCTCATGATCATATTTTCCATTCACAGCGGAGAGCAGAGATTCCTGGAGTTGTGAGCATGTTCTGGGCTCCTACGTGAGGCTAAAAACATGCTCTGATTTTTTTTCTTTCCAATATTGGGGATCTTATTTATTACAATGGCTTAGCCCAGGGTCTGGCAAGCTGGCCAAGTGGCCCTTCAGCTCCCCCACAGCTTACTGCCTTCTCTAGCTGGGCTGGCGGACCTCACTCAAAAATGATGAGCTTTCCACTTTTTTCCAAGCTTTTCTAAAGATGCTCAGCTTTCCCAGACACCAGATCTCTGTTGTAACAGCCCCTGTCCCTTTGAGTAAAACAACTGGTCCAAATGGACAGGGTTTTGGTTTTGTCTTTGGAAGAGGTAATTGGTTTAAAATAGCAATCAGAGGCCAGTGGATGGTCCCAGATGGATCTTGGAGGCACCAACAGTTAGGGTGGTAGGGTGTGGGGTTAGGTAAGAAGCACTGACTGCCCCCTCTTCCAAACTTTCCAGAATCTGTCAGGAAAGAGGCCAAGGGGATTGGGGGAGGAGTTTACAATCAGGACAAAAAGCCTTCCCTAATCCCCTGACTGGCCCAGTACTACTCCTTCTGGCTGCCTCCGGCCTGGGCTGGATGTGTGCGCTTGGCTTAGCATCTGCCTGGTTCCTGAAGGTTCGGTTTGTAATCAATTAGAAATTTTTCTGACTGAGCAGCCCCATCCCCAGGACCTCAGAGAAAGCAAGCGTATGCAGGGCTGAGTCCTAGCGGCCTTGTGATTGCTGTGACCCACTTTCAGCTTCTGCTTCTGCCCCACTGCTCCCAGGGAGCGGCTTCACCGACTGGCTGGTGGGCTTGGCTGCCTCTGCTGAGGGGCCAGTGCACCATCATCTCAGCACAGATGCCTCAGGAGCTAGAGCGCATGCTGTTTCAACCCAGACACCCTGTGCAGTTCTCTTCAAACTCACAGAGGCAGCTCTGGGAAAGGTGGACTGACTGACTGCCCTTCCCTCTCTATTCTCTGGTGAGGGCCTGAATAAAGGACTCCAGCAGGCAGCAGCTCATACCTGGATCTTCTCTTCACTCACCAAACATTTATTGAGTGCCTACTCCATGCCAGGCCATGTGCACACACAGGCCTTTATGAGACAGTGTAAAGTGGCACCAGACTTGGAAGGGTGGTGGTCAGAGGAGGCTTCTTAGAGGAGGTGACATCTCCCTTGAGGTCTGAATGATAGCTAGGAGCCAGCTTGTTGCAGAAACAGCTGTGCAAAGCCTGGGGGTGAAGGCTGGGAAGTGATGATCGACGTCTCTTGGAGAAAAGGAAACTCTGTTCAGTCAAGCTCATGATACCTCCTAATTCTTAAAGCGATCGACTGCAAACTGAAAGGTTAGTGGTCCAAAACCACCAGCAGCTCTGCAGGAGAAAGATGTGGCAGTCTGCTTCCGTAAACATTTACAGGCTTGGAAACCTTATGGGGTCAGAATCTACTCGACGGCAGTGTTTTGTTTTTGCCTCCAAAAGCAGCTCTGTCCCCTGCAAGCTGTGTGACTGTGGTCAAGTCAGTTTTCCCTGGCTCTCAGTTTCCTCATCTGTAAGTAAAGGAGTTGGCCTAGATAAGAATCTAGATGCTTTCTGAAAAGTCCTTTCTATGATTTTCAGTTAGGCTAAGAGTTCCCAGGATGCCTTTGGTTCACCAAACCACTGATGATTCACTGGGTGTTCCCTTTCCCAGTGGAGCCTCTGCATACTGGATGGACAAAGCATCTATCTCAGAAAAGCTCTGTTCTCAGCCTGCTGTACACTGGCTGATCATCAACCACCCACAGCAGGTCTGAGCAAAGCACATGATTTTTGATGTACCGACTTTGTAACATCTATTTCAGTGGCTCAGAAGCCTTTTTCTCCTTATTTCCTCATTACTGACTAATTGATTTCTGGGTAGTACTTTACACCCCCAGTGCAGTGGGTGCCTATGATAAATATTGCTTGTAAGTAATAATGATTACAGGTATTACCGAAGCAAGTATCACTTTTACTATCCAATATTATGGTTAATACAAGTTAACTGCCAGTTGAAAATTACTTTTAAACCATGGGTTCATATCCTCCCTTTTCCATCTCTCTTCTTCAGCTTTTCATGTGTAATCATGAGAGTTTCTTACAATGCAGAAGGTACAATGGAGTAAGGTGGAGGCTTCAATAAGTTGGCTAAGCACAATTAAAAACAAAATTTTAAAGGCATAAAGGGAAAGTCAGAAATCACAGCAATATCCAGTTTTTTTTTTTTTTAAAAAGAGCTTTAACATTTATTAAGCATCTACTGGGTAGCAAGAGCCAAAAAATAACTTCTTCCTCACATTAACCCGAATGAAAAAAAAAAAACACCAAACTAGTTGCCTTCAAATCAATTCCAACTCATGGCGGCCTCGTGCGTTGCTGAGTGGAACTGTGCTCCATAGGGTTTTGGAATCTGCGACCTTTCAGAAGCAAATTGCCTTTCTTTGGAGGCACCTCTAGGTAGGTTTGAACAGCCAACATTTTGGTTAGTAGTCCGTACTTAACCGTTTTGCCACCCAGGGACTCCTACGTTACCCTTGTTGTTGTGTGCCTTGGAATCGATTCCGACTCATAGCCACCCCATGTAATCGAGTAGAACTGCCCCATACGGTTTTGTAGGCCATAATCTTTACAGGAGCAGATAGACAAGTCTTTCTCCCGTGGACCTTTCAGTTAGCAGCCAAGCATTTAACCGTTTAACTGTTGTGCCACTAGGGCTCCTTGTATTAACCCTAGGAGGTCAATATTACCCCAATTTATAGCTGAGGAAATAGACTTATGGAGTTAAGTAACTTGCCAGAGTCACAGAGTAAGTGGCCCACTTGGGATGAACACACCAGTCCTTTTACCCGTGACATCTGTGCCCTTTGGCAAACACTGAACATGCATTTTCTAGAGCTGTTTTCAAGATATGGTACACCAAAAATTCGATGGATTAGCTTCAAGAGCACTTACCTTTTTTTCCCTCTACTGTCCCTCCTGCCCATGGAGTCAAAGAGGTAAGCCATGGTGAGTTAGCTCCATCTGCTGACTACCTCCCTGAACATCAGGATGAAGGACTGAATGCTAGTTTCAGAGCCCCTGGGTGGTGTCAACGGTTATGCATTAGACTACTAGATTACTAGCCTAAAGGCTGGAGGTGCCAACCTACAGAGAGGCACTTCAGAAGACAGGCCTGGAGATCTGCTTCTGAAAGGTCACAGCCTTGAAAACCTTATAGAGCAGTTCTACTTTACGCACATGGGGTAGCCATGAGTCGGAACCCATTCCAGGGCAACTAACACCAATGTCCTCTAATTGAAAATGGGAGCGTGGGGGGTGGGTTATAGTGCCATCTGAGGTCACTACCAGCCCTCAAGGACAAGTCCAGCAGCAGAGTGAGCACCTCCCTGTAGTCCTTCAATGTTCCCACAATGTCAAGGCTGGGCAGTGACTCCCTGTGGGAGAAAGTGGTGGCAATTACAGGAAGCCTAAAAAAGAGACCTTGAGAAATAAAGGCACAGGCTTCTATCACTACAGCCACTGGGATAGAGTGAGATCTTAGCTTTCACCCCACTTGGGTTTCTCAAAGTGTGGTTTGGGCCCCAGCCATGGGGTATTTGTTAAAACTGCACATTCTCAGACCTCCAGTGTGGGGCCCAGGACTCTGTTTTTTGTTGTTTTTTTTTTTTTTTAAATTGTGGTAAAAAATATATATAACGTGTCAATTTAACAATTTTTACATGTACATATCAGTGACATTATGTGCATCATCATGTTGTACAACCGTTACCACTATCCTTTTCCAAATTATTCCACCACCATTAACAGAAACTCAGTGCCCCTAAGCAATGGCTCCCCCCTTTCCCCCTCCCTCCCACCCCTGGTGACCATTACTAAACTTTGGTCTCTATACATTTGCCTATTTCATATAAGTGGGATCATACAATATTTGTCCTTTTGTGACAGACTTATTTCACTCATCATAATGCTTTCAAGGTTCATCCATGTCACAGAAGGTATTAGAGGACTTCTTTTCTCTTTATGGCTTGGTAACATTGCACTGTATGTACACACCACATTTTGTTTATTCATTCACCTGTTGCATTTAGGTTGTTTCCACCTTTTGACGATTGTGAGTAGTGCTGCAATGAACACTGGTGTACAGGTTTCTGTTTGTGTTCCTGCTTTCAATTCTTTTGGGAATACACCCAGGATTGGGATTGCTGGGTCGTATGGTAGTTCTATGTTTTAACGCTCTGCAGAACTGCCAAAATGTTTTCCCAGCGGCTGCACCATTTTTACATTCCCACCAGCAATGGATGAGTGTTCCAGTTTCTCCACATCCTCACCAGCACCTGTTGTTTTCTGTTTGCTGTTGTGTGTTTTTTAATAATAGCCATTCTAGTAGGGGTGAGGTGGTACCTCATTGTGGCTTTGATTTCCATCTCCCTAAGGTTGGAGCCCATCCAGAAGCACCTTGAAAGAAAGGCCTGGCAATCTACTTCCAAAAAATCAGGCACTGAAAACCTGTGGGGCACAGTTGTATTCTGACACACATGGAGTTGCCATGAGTTGGAATGGACTCGAGGGCAACTGGTTTAATGACTAATGACATTGAGCATCTTTTCATGTGTTTGTTGGCCATTTGTATATTCTCTTTGGTGAAATGTCTGTTCAAGTCCTTTGCCTGTTTTTTAATTAGGTTGTCTTTTCGTTGTTAAGATGTAGGAGCTCTTTATATGTTCTGGACATTAAACCCTGATCAGATATACGGTTCCCAAAAATTTTCTCCCAATCTGTAGGTTGTTTCCTC